TTTCACAAAGACGGAGAACCATTAAAATGTGCAATAAGGCTCAAAAAAAGGGTAAAAAAAAGAGGCTTCTCACTCTTATAAGCTCTGCTCTCTGGACCAGTCACTAACAAGGAAGTCAGCATCCTGCGTTACCATGGCAACAGACGGGTTTAATGACAGATATGAGGATCCACTCCTCTCTCAGTACACATACAGACCTCTCTTGTCTCAGTATACATACAGAACTCTCTTGTGTCAGTATACATACATACCTCTCTTGTCTCAGTATACATGCAGACCTCTCTTGTCTCTGTATACATACAGACCTCTCTTGTCTCAGTATACAATGCCTTTGCGAAAGTATTCGGCCCCCTTGAACCTTTCAACATTTCGCCACATTTCAGGCTTCAAACATAAAGATATAAAATTTAAATTTTTTGTCATGAATCAACAACAAGTGGGACACAATCGTGAAGTGGAACAACATTTATTGGATAATTTAAACTTTTTTAACAAATAAAAAACTGAAAAGTGGGGTGTGCAATTTTATTCGGCCCCTTTACTTTCAGTGCAGCAAACTCACTCCAGAAGTTCAGTGAGGATCTTTGAATGATCCAATGTTGTCCTAAATGACTGATGATGATAAATAGAGTGCACCTGTGTGTAATCAAGTCTCCGTATAAATGCACCTGCTCTTTGATAGTCTCAGGTTCTGTTTAAAGCGCAGAGAGAACCATGAAGACAAAGGAACACACCAGGCAGGTCCGAGATGCTGTTGTGGAGAAGTTTAAAGCCGGATTTGGATACAAAAAGATTTCCCAAGCTTTAAACATCTCAAGGAGCACTGTGCAAGCAATTATATTGAAATGGAAGGAGTATCAGACCACTGCAAATCTACCAAGACCCGGCCGTCCCTCCAAACTTTCATCTCAAACAAGGAGAAGACTGATCAGAGATGCAGCCAAGAGGCCCATGATCACTCTGGATGAACTGCAGATAACTACAGCTGAGGTGGGAGAGTCTGTCCATAGGACAACAATCAGTCGTGCACTGCACAAATCTGGCCTTTATGGAAGAGTGGCAAGAAGAAAGCCATTTCTCAAAGATATCCATAAAAAGTCTTGTTTAAAGTTTGCCACAAGCCACCTGGGAGACACACCAAACATGTGGAAGAAGGTGCTCTGGTCAGATAAAACCAAAATCGAACTTTTTGGCCACAATGCAAAACGATATGTTTGGCGTAAAAGCAACACAGCTCATCACCCTGAACACACCATCCCCACTGTCAAACATGGTGGTGGTAGCATCATGGTTTGGGCCTGCTTTTCTTCAGCAGGGACAGGGAAGATGGCTAAAATTGATGGGAAGATGGATGGAGCCAAATACAGGACCATTCTGGAAGAAAACCTGTTGGAGTCTGCGAAAGACCTGAGACTGGGACGGAGATTTATCTTCCAACAGGACAATGATCCAAAACATAAAGCCAAATCTACAATGGAATGGTTCACAAATAGACGTATCCAGGTGTTAGAATGGCCAAGTCAAAGTCCAGACCTGAATCCAATCGAGAATCTGTGGAAAGACTGCTGTTCACAAACGCTCTCCATCCAACCTCACTGAGCTCGAGCTGTTTTGCAAGGAAGAATGGGCAAGAATTCCAGTCTCTCGATGTGAAAAACTGACAGAGACATACCCCAAGCGACTTGCAGCTGTAATTGCAGCAAAAGGTGGCGCTACAAAGTATTAGCGCAAGGGGGCCGAATAATATTGCACGCCCCACTTTTCAGTTTTTTATTTGTTAAAAAAGTTTAAATTATCCAATAAATTTTGTTCCACTTCACGATTGTGTCCCACTTGTTGTTGATTCTTTCCAAAAAAATGTTTTAAAATATCTTTACGTTTGAAGCCTGAAATGTGGCGAAATGTTGAAGGGTTCAAGGGGGCCAAATACTTTCGCAACCCCCCCCCCCACTGTACATACATACCTCTCTTGTCTCAGTATAAATGCAGTCTCACATCACTCTTATAACCTAAAAACTGCTCAATAAAACTCAAGAAAAGGTCAAAAGCCGCTTCTCCAACTCTAATCATCTCTGCTCTCTGGACCCGTCACTTACCAGGAAATCGGCATCCTACGTTACCACAGCAACGCACACGTTTGATTGGCAGATCAGACGAGTTTTTTTTGGCAGTTTCTAATCAAGTGGCTGTCTGGGGTGGCTGCTTACCCCCCTCTCTTTTTCCTCCCCCTCCTCCCCCTCCTCTCGGTTTGGCGATATTGGCGTTCGGCTGCTGGGATTTAGCCCCATTAAAGACGGGAGCAGCAATTAGCAGCGGCACTTACTGATAGACTCTAACTCCGTGAGCGGTTTATGTAGCTGCCAGTCTCCGCGTTTGGAATCAAGCTGAAAAGTCGGCGAATATTCAATTTGCATAGTAATAGAATCATGATTTAACATAAGCTTAAAGGATAGAGCAAGGTATAGTCAGTCTAATTGGTTCGGACCGGTATAAAGGGATAAGACATTGCTTTATTGGGGTTTTAAAACGTAAATTTGTTATCATTTTTAATAACATCTCTGGAGGGTGCTTCGCTGTGTGTCATTGCGTACCTTTTTGCTTCAAGAGGATTTGGGAGTTAGAGGAAATGACTCATTCTGATCAAACACTACTGTCTCTGGAGGACCGCGGTGAACTCTAACCTGTTATGATTCATTTTTAATTCAGGCTCAAATTAAATTCCTAATTCAATTTTAGATTAAGGGAAATGAAACTACAGTGTGTGTGTAGGTTTATGTTTAGGTCACTTCATATATGCGTCTTTGGCCTGCAGGTAGAATAGAAAAGGATAGGAAATAGGCAAGGCTAGTTTATTTGTATAGCACCTGTATATCTGCCCGTGTGAGATCAAAACTGGAGGAGACCTTTAGCTGCAAACTGTCCAATAGTTTACTCCTGGACACTAGAGCAGCTTCTTAAATCTAGTCTAAAGACACATTTTTATGCCTTCGAGTTTTACCGTTTTACTTTTTACATGTATTGTGTATTTTATGTAGTTTTTTTGTAGTTTTATTTATTTATTTATTTGTATCTTTTGCGCCTGTGAAGCACTTTGACAGCTGCAGTTGTTGTAAATAAATAGACCCAGCCCTGTTATA